TGGATTTCGAGGCCTCTTATGATGATCATACATGCCGAAAGTGCCGTAAATACCGAGTAAAACGGATGTGCTCTTAACATGGTTTTAAGCAAGTGTAGTTGGTAGGGGGGGGGGGGCGCCTACTACTACTACTACTACTACTACTACTACTACTACTTCTACTACTACTTCTACTACGACAACGACGACGACGACTACTACTACTACGACGACTACTACTACTACTACTGCTACTACTACTACTACTACTACCACCACTACTCCTGCTGCTTCCAGTACTGGTACTGGTACCAGTACTAGAAGTCCTACATTGTGCCGGAAAATGGCACCGCTCATTTGTCCGGTGAACTTGGTAATTTTGGTCATCTTGCCCCACTTGCTTTTCTGCATTTCTAGGCTTGGTCATCTTGGTCATCTTGCCCCACTTGCCCCATTTGCCCCACTTGCGACCAAGATACAGGCCTTTTTTGGTCATCTTGGGCCCCCCCAAGTGGACCAAGATTACCAAGATGATCGAATCGGGTCCCCTCCCCAGCCTAGACGAATGCACCAGCCAAGATGACCAGGATGGCCGGTCATCTTGCACCCCTTGGTGGTTCCATTTTCCCGGCACACTTTACTAATACTACTCGACTACTGCGACCTGCTACGAACTGCCACGGCATCGGGTACGGCTACGACCACGACCCACGTCCACGACCAAGACTGCGAGCAGCTACGGCTTCGTCGAAAGATGCGATTACTACTGCGACTGCTGCTGCTGTTCCAATGGCTGTCAACCTGTTCACCTCTGTGTGTTGCATACTTTTCTTTGGTGCTGTGGCTTCAGCCCCGCGGCGTTTGATGCCATCCTCGATACGTTGCAAAACGTCCGGTAACTGCGTCTTCGATGCCTTCAAATTCAACCCGAAGGGCTTGGAGAACCCGTCCTTTGAAGCCTTCGGCCCCCCCGGAACAGTCTAGTGTTGCCAGGTTTGTCGGCGATCACGAACCTTCTGGCTGGTGCGCGAGGCAGATTTTCGTCCGGATGACGGCTATGCGGATGTTCTTTAAGATTCAAGCAGGCGTTGCTATTCAGCTCGTGTGCCGTTTGCTGGGCCACGTACGAGAAAACAGCGCGGACTCAGCAGTAGCAGCCGGGAGAGGAAGATGAGGAAGAGTTATTTGTCCTAGCTGTGGCAGGAGCTGTGGTCAGACCACTGAACATTGTCGAGCTCCCAAAAAACTCCGCATCCCCAATACACCAGCAAAAATCCTTAGAGAATGAATCGGCCTCGACACTAAGCCGCCATGAGTTCCCAAAGCTATGCCGCAAAGCCGCAGGCCGAGGCAACAACTAATGTTACACTAAAGCATTACAGCCCTAAGCCCAAAGTACGTGCCCTGAGTCGGCCCTGAGTGCTGGCTTAGAAGGGATGTGTGTCGACTGCCGGCAGGTACAACAAAGGTGCGCCTTCACAACTTTAACATAAACCCTATAGATCCATAAGATAAACCTCATAAACTTTAAAGATCCAGTTTTTAGGACCCGTGAAGGAACACGTAAAGGAACTCCCTACAAGATTCCATGCTGGAAGGCCCGTCTCCGCAATCCGGCTCTGGTTGTTTCTCGGCCGTGCCCTTTTGTTGGTGGGGCTCTTTGTGGTAGTGTTGAAAGCCTTGAGGTTCAGGGTTTGTGGATGTTTGAGGGTTGACTTATGCAAGAATCGTGTGTAGTCGCGTCAGGTTTAGGGTGTGCGAGGCTGCAGAGTTGCGTGATCCGGCTTTTTGTTGAGACTCGTCCTTGGGAGTTTTGCTCTTTGCTAGCCTTTTGATCTTGGGGCTTTCCATTCCCAATGTCGAATTTGTTGCTAAGGCTTTCGTTTCTGAAAGTCTTCTAGAAGGTGTAGGGTGTTAGGGTTTAGATTTCCGTTTGCCTTTGGAGTGATGTTGGGGGGTTCGGGCTTCTGGAGCGCTGCCGGCGCTCTTCACTGGGGTGTTGGCGTTGAAATCGTAAGATACAAGAGCAACAGGCAGTCGCAGCAGCTAGCAGCCACCATGTTGAAGCATTGGGGATGGAGCATCAGGGCGCGACTCCAAAATGCCCTTATCTAAGTCAAGAGCACACCGGCAGCGGTGGCACTAGAAAGCAGAGAACAAGGCAGGAGTCCTCTTTCGTGGGCTTCAGTACGAATGTTGACCCCGACCCTCTTAGGGGGATACTGAAAACGTTGCAACCCTAAACAAAATCCTTTGGGGTGGGGCACTGAAGGAAGGGGCCCCCACTGCATGGAGGTCCTGCCGGCAGTGTAGACTGCCTGCATACGAGGTTTTACCGGATGCAGCTTGCACCCTGGGCAAACGGACTGCGAAGCCGGGCAAAGGGAACCATATATACCAAACCCTGAAACACTGAACGCGGCAACCCACAGCCGGCGATTGAACGCTGTTGAAGAGAGCCTAATCCAGGCACCTCGCCGACTCGCCGGCATCGCCGCGTGAATGGCTAGACTCTTCTAGATTCTGGACCATAAATCCCAAGTCCCTAGCAGTCTCGGATCACAAACCAACAGTAGAACATGTCAAAACCAAAGTTCCGATTTTTCGGGAGGATATCACCACTGAGCAGCAGACACAATGAACCCCCTAAAACCTGCGATCAAGGTCTATGCTGTGCCATGGACTTTCCCGAGCTGGGTCGGTTTGGAACGCGGCACAGAGCACCGGGGCTCCAGTAAATCGGAAGCTTAGGGTCATGGGGCTCATGGGGATTTTGGGGGTTGGGGATTTATTTAACAATTTGGATTTGGGGTCAATGCGTGTGTTTCGGTTCGTACGTCAGGCACAAGTTCTGTAGCTCTTCCAGCTACGACACGGAATCCTGCAGTGAAAGCTTGTGGAGGAGCATCTGGGACCGGAGAAAGTTGCTGTTGTGCAGCCAAAACCTGGGGCGAACACGGCACGCAAGCAAGTAATATAGGGGCCTTCAATTAATACTATTTTGGGGGGTTCCTTATTATAACTATAGTATAATATACCACCAAACCCAATTCTAATTATTAAGGGCCCTAACCGGCCCAATATTGCCTTTACAAGTTGCTGCTTAGGCGGTTTGGGGCTGCTATAAGTCATACGAACGCTCTCGTGTCACGAGTCGAAGCCCAAAGTCGAGATCGGCTTCATAGCCAGGTCGGAGTTCTATAACACCGATGCCCTGGACTACATCGTGAGTTCTTTTGCATTGTTTCAGCGTCTAGCAGGGTTTAGGGTTTAAGTTTAGGGTTAAGTTTTGGGGCTTAAGTTCCTCGACTTAGGTATTCTAGGGCCTCAAAAGAGCTTGTGCTTGCTAGAACAGGGTTGCTTGAAGATTCTATGAAGCTTTCTTAATGATTTATATGTATATACAGATATATATATATATATATATCTATAGCCATGCTTGATTGTGCAGGATAGACCCTCAGCCCTAACCCCTAAACTATTCGGGGTGGCTGGCTTCAGGTCATTTCTGAACCCTACCGTCATGACAGCCCTCCTGCCGAGCTGCCCGGGTGCTCTCTGTGCAGTGGTAGAGTCTGAAGCATGGCAGCGCAGTCTGAACTGGGATGTGTTGTGTCTAATATACTGTAAATTACCATAATATAGGAAAGTATATTCTAACATGCTCTAGTACACTAATTATAATATACTATGATGTTCTCTAGTAAACTATCATACGCCTGTGCTCTTCATGGTCGACTTCGATCTGAGCTCAGCTTGTCTCCCGTGCATTCTTTGTTCATGCGGTGAAGTTGTTCCAAAAACCTACCTGAACTCCGAATAAAAACTACCTTCTTGGGGTTCCTGATTGTGGTTTCCTTTCATAGGTCCCTAAAAAGGTAGGTGCTTTTGGGTCCAGGTAATTATGGTCAGGTTTGCACGCTCACACGTAGAACTGTGCACTCTGCAGCAGATTACGAAGCCAGTTTCAAGTGGTGGAGCACCTGCCTTCGAGCGAGTCACCTGGCCTTGGTGCATAGATGTGAACACCTGGCAGCAGACTGCACTAATGCCTTCACAGTCTCTACCTCTTCAACTTCAAGCACAGAAGCGAAATCTTATATAGATGAGAAAAGATGTTATTACGATCCGAGGTGTTGAGGCTACCACCGTTGTTGCTGTCCAGACGGTTCTTAAACCTTTGGAAACGTCGATCAAGGCAAGCCCTCATACTTCAAAACACATAGGCCCTGAAACCTAGACCCCTAAGAAGTGCTTCTGATACTTTTCCCTCCTGTCGGATTTCCACCAGGTTGGCTTCAATGCGCGAATGCGGCCGGATCCGATTATCTGTTTTAAGCCGGGCCAGGGTCCCGAAAGCTTAGGCGTGGAAGGCGTTGTGGGTGAGAACTCAATGGCACTAATCTCAGCAGCCCATCATCGGGTTCCTGGCATGATGTCGTCTTTGCGGTTTCGCAGTTACAGGGCTATCTGGAGCGCCAGTTTTATTCACAAGCTCTTGACTTGTTCTGTGCCTCTAAGCCCCGATGTGCTACGATGTAAGAACTGTGGGGACCCATCCCTTCTTGACGATTTCGCTACTTCAGACGCAGTGCTGCAAGCATGCGTGCGCGTGTGCGTGTTTGTGTGTGTGTGCCGGTGTGTGTGTGTGTGTGTGTGTTAGCACTAACTCAACCAACTCTCTGATCAAATGGAGCCTGCGCTCCAGCTGCCACTCACAGGCTACACTTACCTTGACAGCCAGCATGTGTGCATCTGCCTTCTTACTACAGAAAGCCTTCACCCCAGACGCTTCACCTTGAGCCCTTAACTCTAAGCTCTAAAGCCTACATCCCCTAAGCCCTAGCAGAAATGAAACCCCACAGCTCCATGGACGTCAACAAGTAGACGAGGGTTTTGGGGTATATCTTGTAGTGCAAACATGTGGGGAAGGGCGGGTGCTACGGTAGAGGGGGAGATGATTTACCTATCTCTAAAGCCGCCAGCGCAAAGCCCAGGAGACTCGAGCAGGCACAGTGGAGTACGTCGGCAACCGCCCCCGGCCATCAATCTTGGACCTGCTTGGAAATAGCACGGACCTCGGCTTCGGACCTACTGCTGTCATATTGGTAGCTAGCAATGATAACGTAGATACTCCCCTTGTCCTTATGCTTGTGACCTATTGTGGCAGCTACTCTTCGTCGTATTCTCACAACACTCCGTGTTCTTGTTTCTGTTTAAAGAATCCGTCGTACTCCTAGCACGATGAGTAAACAGCGCTTTAGGGCTTCCGGGTGTTGCTTTTGTTGGGTTTTGGGGTCTTGAGGCTTTGGGGATCTATTGCTTCCAAAATTTTGGGGCGTCAGGGTGGATGGCGCCGGGGGCTTTGGAGTTTTAGACTCTCTTGTGCTTTTCATGATGTTTTGTAGATTGCAGGCACGAAGGCAGTAGCCTGTGTTTCAACATTCTGCTGACGACATTTGGCGATCTTGTCTGGATTTCCATTGTTTCTAAACGACGCATTTGCATTTTCCCGCGTGGATCGGGTGCTTCTCAGCAGAACTACCGTTCTTCTGCCCCAAGATTCAAAAGAGTACTGCTGGCGTATTGTTGGATCAGCTTAAAATGAATGGGACAAGCTGCGAGAACCATCGCATCTGAGGTACCTCAACCCCATACGCCCTGCACCTCTGTGGATGCATGTCGGTTCTGATCCCTTTTGCACATGAATTCTGCGAGATGACAGTTTCGACTGTAGGCCCTGAGAGCCACCGGAAGCACCGAAATCCAGGTCATTCGGCTTCACTACCCCCGTGGCGCTGGGTGGTTGCGCTGCGGGAGGCTTTAGCCTCGCTGCCTGAAAGTTCGGTTTTGGATGCCCGAGGTGTAGGAGTTTAGGGCTAAGGGTTCCCACCGAACTAGTAACGCCATGAAGAATATGATGTAGTTCCGCGCTCCACTACTTCCCGGTTTGGGGTGTTTGTTTACCATCAGATTTGATCGATTTCGACATTCCCTGAGTCAGACGGAAGGGATCTGCAAGTCTCTCTGCCCATAGGCTGTCTAGAGCTCTCTGGTGGTTTTCGGGGCAGCAGAGAGTCTAGATTAGGTTTTGTTGCGGTGGCCTGTAGTGATCGCTAGCCAGGTTCCTTTCCTACATACTTGTAGGTGGAGATTGAGAAGGAGATGCTGCCACACGTTCAGAGTGGCAGATGCACGCACAGAGTCAAACACCCCTACGCAGTCGTGCAATCACTCATACATGCATACTTGCCTGCATACCTACCTACCTACCTACCTACCTACCTACCTACCTACCTACCTACCTACATACATACATAACTTAATTATACATAATATTTACATACTAACATCCATGCATGCATGAATGGATGCGCACGCCAGTACTTGTGTTGGAATATGCACAGAACCCTAAGGGTCTAAAGGACCCAATAATCAGGTACTTAGGTTTCGGATAGTAGATATGTAGGTTACTATTTGGGAGAGTATATGATTATGAAAATTATTAGGTGCATGGGCCCTTAAGGCCATGACCATTCGGAAGCCAAGGACGTGGCAGGATTCAACCAGACCCGGCTGGTTCTGCCGGATTCTACATATGCCGCCGTGCTTAAGATAGGGGCCTTAATACTTAGAACAGGGTTTGGGGGTATATTGGGCATCTACAAAAACTTGTAAGAAGGACCTCTTGTTGCGACACGCGTTGTGCGAGAAGTTCTACATGCACATTCTGGCTCGCTAGAGTCTGCCCGTGTGTGCTTCCCATTTAGAGTGGGGGATCCTTGACGAGTTTTTGTGGTTGTGCGCCGCAGCGCGAGCTATGCGACTAGCCACAAAGCAGCTCATGCCAGCAGTATCGAACGCCAAACTAGGCCCTAGGCTGGATGCGAAAGCTAAGTAGGGGCGATATTGGCAGCGGTGCACCACGGGACTCCTTCTGTTTTCAGTAGGGGCTCCTCTCGATCTCTGGTTCCTACACGCAAGAAAGCAAGCGAACTCCCGGAGCCAACGAGGACCCCGCCGTCGAGCAGCTCTGGGAACAGGAGCCTGATTTCGCCTCTGCTCTGGCAGATGGCGCAATGGGTCCTTCCTCTTGCAATGTTGCAGCCTTCAGGGGGAGGGATAGCAAGAGGATTCAGCGCTGGTGTCTGACGTTTCGACAATCACTGGGACAGGAAAGCGGGATGCCACACTCCGGAGATTGGTTCCATACCGTACCATGCGCATATGCAGAACGTTATATTCAAGATGTCGGAGTGGCGTTGGGATTGGCTTAATACTCATAGGCTCCCAGCTTCGCAACTGATGTGCCGTCAGGCTTGCACTATCCGTGCTTCCTGCCACTACCCTCATTACGACAGCAGACGTCCATGTCCCTCTGGAGTTCGGAGGATGTGGGCCTGACGGTGTCTTGGCTTTGGGCTGTATCGTGTTCTGGACAGTTTAGGAGACACGCAGGGCGCGTGAAAGAGATGTTCGGTTCTAGCGCATGACCGAGCCAGCTGATCTGACATGCCCCTTCAACCTAGCAGGGCTGTCTCTTGACACCTGTGTCACTGTATGGTAAATTTACCCCGAAACCCAAAACTAGCGCCAAACCCCTGAAGTACTGCATTCCGATAGGCGGACTGGCGTGGTGCTTCCTGCCTTGGACGTAGTCTTAACACGAGCCTGGGCAGAGCAGGTGAGATGAGACTTGTGTAGGCCGTATTGTAGTTATTGTATGCTGACCTGGTTCAGGCAGATGGCATAAGTTGTTTAGAGGCTTTCGTGCGGGCAACTTCTACATCTTTAACATATTGCTTCAATTTTCGGCATGATTCGCTGAATATCTGTTGCCTTACTTAAGGGCGGTAAGTCTGTGTGTATACACACACACACATATATATATATATAGATGTATACTTGTGTATGTGTACATGAAAACATGAACACATACACATACACATGTATGCATATATGTTACGTTTGGTTCTTTGTAGTTCATGCGAAGAAAGTCAGGCATTCCACTGGTTCGGATGAAGGTTTGTGGGATTCTTATGAAGAGTGCTCTGCAAGATCTTCTGGTTTTCTCGAGTTCTTGAACGGTACTTAGTCGGGGGAAGGGGACTTGCTAACAAGGCCGCCATGAGGTTTGCGAATCCCAGATCAGCCCGACGAAGTTGCATGCCCTGGATTTTGAAGATGTTGTTTGGATTTTGCAGGTTTGGACGGTTGTTATTGTCGGCAGAGGTTGTTCGGGTTTCGTCGGTTTTGATACGGACTTGCAGGCTACCCACGAACAAACGAGTGATTTTACCTTCCACTGCGCATCTTCTGAAAACACGCAAACACTGCTTGCCACCACAAGTACAAACGTGGGTTTTGACCCACAGACGCCGAGGTTTTTCAACTTCAGTCTTTGCCGCCGTGTCAATGTCACATCACGAGAACTCGACGCCTGCCGGTTTTCCCAGCACTTCCCTCCGTTACACTAATGAAGACCCCGCAAACAGATGGACGAACTCTTCGAGACGGCCATAAACGGCCAGACCTCGACCTTCTTCTTCTTGTAGCCGTCGTAGTCGTTGTTCCCGGGCAGCACTCTTGGCCATAGCAGTCGCAGTCAGTAGCGGTAGCGGCAGCAACGGCATCAGCGACAGCAACAACAGAAGCAGTCGCAGCATGCATCAGGACGAGCACTAGTCACTAGTAGCTATCACGGAGCAGCTAGTAATACCACGTAGCAGCACCGGTTGGAAGCCCAGGGCAGCTTTGCAGAACTGCGAAGAATGCCGGAATGCCGTATTGAAGACTGATTGAGTCGTGCCCAGATACTGCATCTCAGCGAGTTTTGAACTTCGGCTTTCTTGTTGTATTGCCGAGCTTCCTCGCGAGGAACTTCGTGCGAATGAACGCTGCTCGCCTGATCATCCGGTCTCTGGTTCACCCCTGAATATGTAAATGTGGAGCTTGCGCCTGTGGTGTCTTCGACCTGTGGTTTCCATCTTAGACCCAAATCTCCACCTACTCGAGACCGAACTCGCCGAATTTTTCGATGTCCATCTCTTTCGGCTGTAGGTTTCCGAGGACCGCTGCATGAAGACGACGGTGCATTTCCAACGTAGGTGTCAAGGTAGGTACAAGGCAGAGGGAAGAGCCGACTTGTGGATAGAGTTTCTGTTTTGATAAGTTCCATTCTGGATTTTGAGGACTTCCAGCTTTAGATGGGTTTCAAGTTCAACTTTCGCTTGACTTTGCTTTACCCTGCAGCGAGATTAGCCTCCTCGCTTTAGGGCTTGGTCTCGAGAAGGTTCGCGGATTGAATTTCTGGGCGGATGCCTGCAATTGTGGTGCTCATGGCAATTAGATGCAGGAGAGCCTTTTCTCGAAGCTGTGCAGCATGGTGCTTGCTCTGACTTCTTGTAGTGTTGGATCTGCTCCGGGTGGTGGTGAGATGTGTCCGTCAGTCCAATCCTTCACCATTTTCACCCCCAGAAAGGAAGACCATCATCCATCTTTAGGAACCCAAGCATCCCCAAACAAAATCCTTCACGGCCATGAAGGTACAAGTATCGGGTTGAGGATTTCTAAGCCGCTACAGCCAACCCCTGTGTCGGCGCTACCGGGCTAGATCGCCTAAACCTAACCCTGCACCTAAGGTGCTGTTTCGCCACCCGCACCATGACCCAAGACGCATGAAAGGTTGTGTGATTGGCCTTGGGGTTGGTGGAGTACCCATAGGCCCCATGGTAGTTCCTTTTTGCGGCTTATATTTAGGATTCTATTAGGGAATCCCCAAAAAGGAACTAGTTACAGTAGATGAGGCAACGAGCACGTTGGTCCGCTCCATGGTATGGAGCTCAGACAGTGGGGTATCAGGGAGGCATTCAGAGTTGATGGCTAAGTAGGCAGCCTAGAGACTTGTTGACAGAGAAGAGCTATTTTTTTTGTGGCGGAACAGGCGAACTTGGCAAGTATTTTCAAGAAGAACTAGGATTTTGAAAGGTGTTTTGGACGACATGCAGGAGATGCAGGAGGGCTGTAGCAAAGCATCTTTCCTTGAGATTTTTTGGAGCCCCGGGACATAATGGTCAGCTTTCGGATTCTAAAGCTGGGTGACGTTTCAGAAGGTGCCGGGATTGAAGCTCAGGGAATTTAGCGTCGTTTGGGTTCTGGCTTTTGCGCGTTTGTGAAGGCTTGCTCTGTGCTTCGTCAGGTATTTCATCCAGGGGTAGCATCAGAACTTGCGTACTGGTCGAACAACAAGTTTATACGATGCCGGGGCATGCCATGAATTCCGTGGGTTCTACATCTGAGCCTAGGGAAGCTTGCAAGTGCATTGTAAAACAGCGCCAGGAATGGTGCAGAGGAGAGGTCTCGAAATGCCGCACTCTTGCACAGCCCCGGCTTACCTTTGATATAGAGTAAACCCCCAAAAGTTGGAAACCGGATCAAGGACAATTAGTGCTGGGATTCCTTATACATTGCTGCTAAGGATTGAGGCTATTGGGTTTCCAACTTTTGGGCTTCTACTGTATATATATATATATACATATATATATATAAACCGAAGAGGGAGGCGCAAATCGCTTCAGGATGATACCCTTGGCTCACTCACCTGATGTCTTATGCTGCCAAGCGAGGAGGAACTTCGGTCTTCTGCCTACGCGCCCGTTCGGAAGTTGGGTGTGACGGGCGTGGCATGGGTAGCAGGTGTGAGTACAACGAGACTGCAACTATACTTGCTCCAGCTTCTGTTGCTACGGTCGAGGGAGGTTGCAGTCAGCCAGTTGTTTTTGGAGATTTTTTTCTGTAAACAAGGAGTTGAGTTGACGAAAAAGGATGAGGGCCTACGAGGCTTATGCTGAAAGGCTTGCCAAGACAGAACACACAAACTTCCTCAAACAATACTACCAAAACCTAAGCCACATGGGAAAGCCTTTGAGCTGTTTTCTGTCCAGCTCACAGCAAAACCCTCAGCAGGCAGCTGTGGGCCTTATTCTACATTTTGAAGCCGGCAACCTAAGCACTAAGATCCCTAAGGCCCCAAACCCTAAACCCTGAAGCTCGAATTTCAAGGCCTGGGCGGTCCACCCCTCCGTGCCGGGCATCCGCGACGGTCTTATCGAAGCAACAGAGCCATGGTCAGGAAGGCAGAGCTCGAGCTTCTGGGTTAATTAGATTATTGTGTTAAGTTATACGTCGCCGTAGTGTAACATAGTATTAAACATGTGGTAGATGTGTATATATATATATATGTATATATTGCTGTATGAAGTTCTTTTTATGTTGTGTTATAGTGTGTTTGAGTCTGTCATATTATACTATGCTAAGTTTTTGCTAAATCGCCGCTGGGGCTCCAAGAAGTTTTGGGCTCATAGGGGTTTCAAGTGAAGCTGCATGGGCTTTAATTTAGAACTTTTGGATGTACGGCTCAGGGCTGGTCAAGTGAAACTTAGGATTTATGGGTCATGTTTAAGGCTCTTTTGCTGTCTTACTCACCAGAGCTTAGATCGGATGATGTATGCGCCAGATCTTGCATGTTGCTTGCAGAAGCGTGTGCAGGCACGCCCGTAAACACACACGTGCTAACCTAGCTACCGACCTACCGACCTACCGACCTACCGACCTACCGACCTACCGACCTACCGACCTATACCGACCTACCGACCTACCCACCTACCTACCTACCTACCTACCTACCTACCTACCTACCTACCTACCCACCTACCTACCTACCTACCTACCTACCTACCTATACCCACCCTACCTACCTACATACATACATCCGTACAATAACATGCAAGCACACATGTATGCATGGGCACATGCATACGTGCATTCGTACATGCATGCATGTATGCACACGTTCATACAGAGACAGGCAGGCAGACAGCCGGACAGACAGCGCACTAGAATTTGATTGTACATCCTTACATGCGCATGTAAACTTATACATATGGACCTGCCTACATGTACTTACAGCTTGCAAGCCCAAATGCTAGCATGCTATTTGTGGAACTCCTGCGAAGCATTAGTCCATCGAGAAGTTGGCGACAGGTAAGGGTAGATAAACCACAACCAAGCGCCCCCGCCTCGTTGCATCTCTTTGGCGGCGATAGGACCTCCGGGCTACACGGATACTGGCAAGCATGTCGAGATAGATGATCAGTCTTCGTATCATGTACTTCAGGGCATTGGAGTCGCAACATTGCCAACACAGAGACGAAGAGACAAAGAGGTAGACGCGAACTTAGATTTCTCCCTCTCTCTCTGTGCGTGGGCGCTTGAAACACACAGACGAGACGAAGCCGTGACCGGAGAAAGAACCACAGAACCTGACCTCATTGCAGGTACTCCATCAAAGATGGACTTTGGACGCTTGCTCACACCACCCGCTTCACAGAGGTCCCGAGCATGTAGCCGGTGCGTCTCAGCAGTTTACGTTTCAGGGTTTCCTCCCCCTGTGCATCCGCCTGTTTGGCTTATTGATGTTTCAGGGTGCCGCAGATCATTGGAGCTTGGACCGTTTTTGCCTTGTGCATCTGCTGTCAGCGCAGAGCTGTTCTCCACATGTACATGCCGAGCGGCTCAAGCTTGCAGGGAGCAGCCAGGGACGTTGACGATTGCCAAGAATGGCATCTGAGGCGTCTGCCATGATGGCAACCGCGGCAGAGGGCATTGGTACCTTTCTTGTCAAGATGAAAATCCGAAGGCAAGTACTTCTTGACGCTGAAGTGGTAGAGTCGCTCGGAGAAACGGCAAGGTACTTGGAGGCAAGGGAGACAGGTAGCCCTGAAGATGCCACCCATCTGGTGCTAAAGAGCTTTGGCGACTGGTGGTGCGGCCCAAATAGTACCAAAAGGCTCGCTGTCGGTTCGCTGGAGGTTCTCTATGATCACATCGCCAAGATGTACAAGCTAGGAGTTCCTCTCACTCTTGGAGAAAGGTTGACAGACCAGTTTAGTTTCTTCCAAGACATTGAGATCCGAGGCAGCAAGGACGATAAGATCGACTACCAGGACATTGTTGGTGCAGACAGTACTTTTCTCCTCTTCCTGGGACGCATCATGGCCGACCTCTTCCCGAAACAGCAGCTGCAGGTTATCGTGCTGGATGCTTCGGGTCTAAACAAGCAGCTGGGCGTGGAGCAGACAGCAGTGCGCCTGGTGTGGCAAGTCGTGAGTGGCAAGAGCACGCAGAGTATCGTTGTCGATTCACAGAAGGCGAATCATATAGTGGATCACATGATCAGCAAGGCCACTGAGTCCAGAGACAAGAACATCGGAGAACTACTCCAACGAGCTCAAGCATTTTCCCCTTTCAACACGTGGAAAAGCATCTTTGTCAGCGACGTCAGTTATGGTAATGGGACCCACCGGGATAGACAACGGCCTATCATTCGGATGACTCTAAACGATGGGGTTGATGACTGTCCGATGTCTGGGCCACAGCAGCGTCCTCTCAAGCCTGTGTTCATTCACAAGTTCTCCAAGAAAGATAGCATGCTGGATTGGAAGGTGGAGCAACAGTGGCCTTCCGATAAAGGGGCCAATCCGGAGCTGGGCTTGGAAGACTATGCGAAACTTGTGAAGATGACCTCCATTCGTCAGGCAAGCGGCACGCCATTGACGGATTGGGTGGCACCATCGTGCAAGGGTAACGAACCTACGAAGAAGATCAAGACCCGCACAACGGCTGGCAGCCTTGACTATGGCCGCCCTCCATGTCGGCTTGTGCCGACGTTCGTGAAACGGACCGTTGCGTTTCCCGGAGACATGGAGGAGTTCAGGTCCAAGATTGTCAGGGAACTTGGGCAGAGTGGGAATACGGACGTGGATTACGAGAAGGGGACGGTTAAATGGGAAGGGAAGGATTGCCAGCTCGTGTTCCAGCATGCAAGTCACATGGTGCACATCACCGGTGTGGAGAGCCTCTGCCGCCAATATCTCTCGGTTTTCCAAGGACACCAAGGCCAAAGCCCAGGATCGACAGATGCCCTGGGATTCTGCTCCACACCTGCAGGGACAGGCATGGGCCGGTGCTTTGCCTGTGCCGCAACATCTTCTCGGCTCAGGCCGATAAGCCTGGCTGGTGGCAAAGGCACATGTCATGGATGATCGGCTGAGAAACCTAGTCTGCAGCCTTGTCAGCTTCCAAATTCGGGCTTGGCGCGTGCTGTGTGCATGCCCTTGCTGAGAACGTGAGAACTGCTGCTGCAAGCAAGCCTTATGAATGTCACCAACGCGGAGAGTGTTTAGCAAGCTTGAGTTTCCTCCAGGCTCAGGGAGGGTACCGACCGACGAGGTTGGAGGATGTCAGCTAGAGTCAGCTAGAGGTTTAGAGAACTCCTATCCTTCGAATTTCCAGATTGTTGCAGTATATGGAAGGTGGGTCGGTCTGTGCATGTCTTGGGCATATCGGTCTCACCTGGATCCGTGCATTCGAAACGTGCAGAGAGAGCATTAAACCTGTGTCCGAATTCCTTTTCCTGGCGACAAGAGAACTTGTGAAAATAAAAAAACCCGAATGTCAGCTCCAATGATGTAGAAAGGAAGTTGCAATCCTTATGGGTTGGCGGAGACGCTCTCTCTCTCTCTGCCTGCAAATGGAGTCAACTCGCATCTGCCTTCTACCTTCAATGCGAGATCATGGCTCAGATGAGAGGGCAGGCAGTTGGTGCAGCGCAGTACTGTTTTCTTGTACAGTTGTATCCGGCACCGCCTCCTGACCGAATCCTATGTGCAGTTGGTTGTACAATGTGTCCCAACAGGCCATCATAATGTCAGTATCTCGCCTTCTTTGCAAATATAATCACTGACATTTATCATTAGGTTTGCTTGCTTGTTGGTTCTGGTTTAACAATTTTATTTGTACAGAGGCTTACAAAGCGGAGACTACAATTGACGAGGGTATTATGCACAGTTTTGGCGTGGTTCAAGAGTGGTGTAAAATGCGAGAGAAGGTAAACATATGTGAGACCTGGTGTTAGCCTATGCTTGATGTATCTTGTTGTATTCGGTCAGCAGTCTCAAGTATGGAACATTTTACATTCGGCTTGCCCATAGCCAGGCCGCTTTTGTCTTGTGATTTCTCTGTGATCAACCGACCTCTGTGTGAGGGGTTGGCCCGAGAAGCAGCCAGCAAAACACTCGAAGCTCATGAGGCCGTCTTTGCCCTTCAGACTAGGCCGTCAGATCTGCGTCAATCACTGCACGCAACCATCTGGCATTCGAGCACGGAAGCAGGTGACATTTCAATTTAATGCCCTACACCGCCGTCCGGAGACTCTACATACCACGGCACAACATCCAACATGTCCTTACGTGTCACGAGAAATGCTAGAACATCCCTAAGTCGTATGCCCAAAATCAATTCCTGAACCCCCAACCTCATCCTAATTTATCCTAACCAAAGCCCGGCATACCTTTTGAACAAAAGCAGCCGACTTGTCACTGTTCTTGTAATATGCCGAAAAACCTATACACTGCAGTACAGAATCTGTAGGATCCCGAAGACAAACCCTCTGAAAGCTGTATCGACAGTGCACATGGGAGCTTCCGAAAATAAGGGGTACCTTATCTTGGGGGTCCTTATAATAGGGATCCTACTATTTAGGGTACTAAAATAGGGTCCCCTATTTTTGGAACCCCCCCACATGTCCCCTTAAGGCACTCCGTGTTCCCCAACAAAACGTTGACCGAAAGGCTGGCTGGTTCGCGTTGCCGCTGCAGTCGGGCTCCAGTGGACACTTGAGAAAAGGCCTTGGGGGCTCAGGGTTATATTTCAGTATATTATAGTGTACTGTCGTAATATGCTATCGGCTTTTTACGCATGATTATCGTATATTACAGTATTGCGGGTTTCTTGCTTCGGGTTTAAGCATTCAGTCTGTAGAGGTGCACGAGTTAAAGAGCTCAAGGTTGAGAACTTCAGGGTTTAGGGTTTAGGAGGGATCTTCAGTCTAAGCTTCCTTCAGTTGTCATCAACAGCTTTACCTGCGCGCTCTTGCCTTAAGACGTGGTAAGGGTTGCATGGGGCGCTTCCCGGCACCTCAGTCCGTGCTGAAAAAGGGCTGCATACTTGGATTTAGTGTTGAGGCTGGTGCTAGTGCTCGGATTAATTGCCAAGCTTCGGGTTTAGGGGATTGGATCTGACTTGAAGTGTCCAGCATACTGCGCCGTGAGTGCTCGTTGTTTCATCTTCTTGTTTCGGTGGAATTTAGGAGCAGGGCTTCTTCATGGGTAGGCCAATGGGCGAGACCATTGGCCTTACACTGCTTGGGCATTTCATAAGAAAGAAGCAAATATAAAAGCCATGCAATGTCCCCTTATTGGTTTAAATTGTTTAGATGTTTATACACATACATACATACCTACATAATTCCATGCTCGTAAAAATACAGACCATACACCCATAGGCGTTGCCATAAAAGAACGCCTCCTTCAACAAACACAGCGTTGCCGACTGACTGGGCTTCAGGCTAGGTTGAAATTTTGCGGGCTGTAGCATTGAACAAAGGTCGGAAGGTTGAAGGTCGTCGACTTGTCGATCTTTCGATTTTCAAGGAGTTGGATTTGCTTGTTGTTTTGGTTTCAGCTTCGTAACGATTCATACCCATGGTACTTGCCCGAGACTATGGGATTTTGGATCCAAGGAGAAGGGAGGACACGGAACCGGAGGAGCGCACCCAGACATCCACACGCCTGCATGGATTGTTTATATTCGACATAGGGGCCTCAATAACTACCTATACTAATGCAAATCATAGTATTGCATTACACTTTATTTTGCTCCGATATCTTTCATGCCAGCAACGGCCCCGTTCCCCACCCTTTCAGAAAGCCCTCTGCGGTCAGTTTGCCGAGTTACATTGGCCCCATAGTGGCTGCACTTCTATTTGCCTTAAGATACTCGGAGTATGACCGGGCATCTTGTTGACAAATTGCAAGAAAAACTTCAAATATCACCGAATTCTGCTTTACGTGAGCAGCCTGTCAGACCCCTTGAAACTCGAAGGTGGTACCTTCGTGACTTACATCTCTCCCAGTGTGCACCCCAGTCAAGGTTTAGGGCTGCGTCGTGCAGTCTTTCAGAGAAGTCTACTTTCTGAAAGTATGGTCCGTCACATTGGGACATGTCGGTACTGCAGCTACCACTTTCGGTGCCTCGATTCAGGATATCTCGGTGCCCAATAATCAGCAACATTGCTACCTCAGACTTCCTGAGCATGAAGCAGGACTCTCATCCCCTAAACCCTAAACCCTAAACCCTAAACCCTAAACCCTAAACCCTAAACCCTAAACCGTTTCGGAGGCTTACTCTTACCAGAGCTGTCAGCGGATCCGTCGATTCAATGTTCCTTGCAGTGACTCGAAAGATCTAGGCTGCAAGCTGCCATCGCCCTTCAAGAGAGCGCAAGCAAGTCAGAAGTGTGCCCGCAATGGCATTAGTCAGTGAAGTCCATGTTTTTTGCAGGGGGATCCGGCAAAGGTGGCTAAAGCTCGCTTGATCCCTGGATCCCTGGATGTAGGCACCAGCATTCCCGTGTCAATCTTACAGGTCCTTGTGGGTAGGTGGGTGTCCATCACCAAAGTCCAGACCTAGATCTTAGCACCAAGCTCTTGAGAGTGTCTTCTGCAGACCGTAGCGACTTCACTCTGGTCGTGGAGAAGCTACAGGTCTGGCGGGAGACGTCAGTGACGCAAGGGGCTTCAGAGTGGAATTCAGAATGATAAAGCCCATGTTTGCAGCCGCCAGCTCGTGGTGTACAGTGATACCCATCCTGAGAGTGTAGCCTTGTTGGATTACTGTAGTCACGGGATCGTCGTCTACTGAACTGCATGCTTCGCCGCGTTACGATCAAGGAGCCCATGTGGCTTTCTCGACTGACCCAACCGTAAGAGTTCCGGGCCCATGCCGACGGTAAATACAAGTGTCCTAGTACTACTATCTATTACTATAAAGTCGAAACCCAAACTAGGTCGTGTATTGAGGCTGCGGGGCCGCTGTCTTATTTGGTTTTAGGCTTTGCTGAGAATACATCCCGATGCAGGCCGACATTGCCTCGACAGTAGTGCTGGCGATGCCTTTTGCCGTAGTTGATCTCTTGTTGTGATCACCCTTGGCATGAGTTGTTAGCGACTTGTATCATCTAGCTTGCTGATTGCTTGAACAGTCGCAGGCAGCCCGTCATCTTAGTTTCACGCCGACTGTTGCACCGTTGCACCTATGGATCCTCGCCCGGCTCGTCCGAGTTGTCATATATGGTTTAGGAAAGTTTACGTTCTTGTTTGAGTTCTTTTCAGCGCACGGCAGGCGCCCTGCCGGAACTGTAGCGGCGCCATCACGGGTGCCGAGGAAGTAGCGGCACCCTCAGGAGTTCAAGTTCAGGCCTTCGCCTGAGAGGTCGGACTTTGGGGGATACGTCCAGTCTCGGGTGGACGAAATGCCTTGGGTCCAAGTGGGGAGGTTTTGGGGCTCTGACAAGGAACGGCTGCCTAGTCGCATCGTGATAGCGCCCTTACGCCATGTTGACCATCGAAGCCCTCTAGGCCATGCGTGCTTAAAAAATTTGGATCGGCGACCCGAGGCGTTCTTGCAGCTGCCGCCTGATCAGTTTAGGATCTTCCAGGTCTCCATGCTATCTCGGACCCTTCATCGCTTGGTCATGGGCACATGTCTCAAAAGTGATTTCACATGATCTATTCATAGTTACAGCTCGCCGCCACTGCAGTACAGAATCACAGGGATTTTCGTGATCGACATGTGGTGCAATTGCTGCAGCCGGTATTATGCACCCAGCTACTATACGATATGTGCTTCCGTCCGATGGGCTGTGGGACTGCCAGTATGTTTTGGTTTGTTAACCTAGTATTGACTATTGTCACCACCACTGTTTTTTGCTACAGCCTTTGCCACCGCACCTCTGAGTGCAGACACGGATGAAGTGATACGCGTCGTGTGCGTGCAGAAATAGAGGTTGTCAGGGGTACGTACATCGACGTACATCTTCATGTTCGGGGCGGGTTGTCTACTTCTTATGCCAGAGCAAGAAGAGCTACTACAACCATAACGATCACTGCAACTAAAACTGCAACAACAACTACTACAACTACAACAACAGCAACAACAACAACTGCTACTATTGTACTACTACTACTACTACTACTACTACAACTACTACTACTACTTCTTCTTCTTCTACTTCTTCTACTACTACTACTACCACTACTACTACTTCTACTTCTA